CTGTAGACAGGGGTGACTGAAGCATTTCTGTACCACAGTACCAGTAACACGGGGTCATCCTGGGTTGGTGAGGTTACATCACAGGGTAACCTTGCTGTTGAGCCCCTGACCGCTGTTACTGCCACCAGGGTACCTGAGGAAGGAATCAGTACCTGAGTACACCTCATACCTTAAAAAAGAGAACTCTCGGTACCTGAGGAAGAATGGGTGCCTGAGTATACAGCATATCTTTGAAAAGAGAGAGTTCTCAGTACCTGAGTTCACCTGAGTAATTACCCAGCACACCTATCAGGTGACACATTTGCGTCAGGGACCCTGGGGCTCACAGGTGCTCCAGACACACTGCAACGCTCACACAGGTGCTCCAGACACACTGCAACGCTCACACAGGTGCTATAGACACACCTGCAACGCTCACATAACTGCTCTAAACACACACAGATGCACCAGACACACACAGGTGCACAAGACACAGGTGCTTCAGACACACACAGGTGCATCAGACCCACAGGTGCACCAGACACACACAGGTGCACCAGACACACACAGGTGCACCAGACACACACCTGCAATGCTCACACAGGTGCTCCAGACACACACAGTTTCATCAGACACACAGGTGCACCAGACACACACAGGTGCACCAGACACACACAGGTGCACCAGACACACACAGGTGCACCAGACACACACCTGCAATGCCACACAGGTGCTCCAGACACACACAGTTTCATCAGACACACAGGTGCACCAGACACACACAGGTGCACCAGACACACACCTGCAATGCTCACACAGGTGCTCCAGACACACACAGTTTCATCAGACACACAGGTGCACCAGACACACACAAGCGTATCAGACACACAGGTGCACCAGACACACACAAGTGCACCAGACACACACAGGTGCGCCAGACACACACCTGCAACGCTCACACAGGCGCTCCAGACAAACATAGGTGCATCAGACACACAGGTGCACCAGACACACACAGGAGCACCAGACACACACAGGTGCACCAGACACACACAGGTGCTCCAGACACACACACAGGTGCGCCAGACAAACGCCTGCAACGCTCACACAGGTGTTCCAGACACACAGGTGCATCAGACACACACAAGTGCATCAGATACACAGGTGCACCAGACACACACAGGTGCTCAAGGCACACACAGCTGCGCCAGATATACACATGTGCGCCAGACACGCACAGGTGCTCCAGACACACATCTGCAACGGCCACACAGGTGCTCCACACACACAAAGGTGCACCAGACACACACAGGTAAGCCAGACACACACCTGCAACGCTCAGACAGGTGCTCCAGAGACACACAGGTGCATCAGACCCACAGATGCACCAGACACACACAGGTGCCTCAGACACACACAGGTGTACCAGTCACACACAGGTGCACCAGACACAGGTGCTTCAGACACACACAGGTGCATCAGACCCACAGGTGCACCAGACACACACAGGTGCACCAGACACACACCTGCAATGCTCACACAAGTGCTCCAGACACATACAGCTTCATCAGACACACAGGTGCACCAGACACACACAGGTGCACCAGACACACACAGGTGCACCAGACACACACAGGTGCACCAGACACACACCTGCAATGCTCACACATGTGCTCCAGACACACACAGTTTCATCAGACACACAGGTGCACCAGACACACACATGCGCATCAGACACGCAGGTGCACCAGACACACACAGGTGCACCAGACACACACAGGTGCACCAGACACACACCTGCAATGCTCACACATGTGCTCCAGACACACACAGTTTCATCAGACACACAGGTGCACCAGACACACACATCGCATCAGACACACAGGTGCACCAGACACACACATCGCATCAGACACACAGGTGCACCAGACACACACAGATGCACCAGACACACACACAGATGCACCAGACACACACAGGTACACCACACACACAGGTGCACCAGACACATACACAGTTGCAACAGACACACACACACACAGGTGCACCCGACACACACATGTGCACCAGACACACACACAGGTGCACCAGACACACACACAGGTGCACAAGACACACACAGGTGCACAAGACACACACACAGGTGCACCAGACACACACACAGGTGCACTAGACACACACACAGGTGCACCAGACACACACACAGGTGCACCAGACACACACACAGGTGCACCAAACACACACAGATGCACCAGACACACACACACAGGTGCACCAGACACGCACAGATTCACCAGACACACACACAGGTGCATCAGACACACACAGATGCACCAGACACACATACAGGTGCACCAGACACACACGGGTACACCACACACACAGATGCACCAGACACACACACAGGTGCACCAGACACACACACAGGTGCACCAGACACACACACAGGTGCATCAGACACACACATAGGTGCACCAGACACACACATAGGTGCACCAGACACACACACAGGTGCACCAGACATACACAGGTGCATCAGACACACACATAGGTGCACCAGACACACACATAGGTGCACCAAACACACACACAGGTGCACCAGACACACACACAGGTGCATCAGACACACACATAGGTGCACCAGACACACACACAGGTGCACCAGACACACACACAGGTGCATCAGACACACACATAGGTGCACCAGACACACACATAGGTGCACCTTGGCTCAGAATCGTGTTTTGCTTAACCTAACACTCAAGGCACCTAAGATGGCACTGAGAAGGTGCCATAATTAGGAGCAGGTGACCCCTTACACTGACTCCCAGGAAATATTTCATACCCAGGTTAAAAACAAGGAAACAAATACACAGAAAACAATAAAAAACAAGGAAATTAAGACACAAAAATACAAAAAAAAAACAAGAAAACACAGACACAAAAGCACAAAAAACAAGAAAACAAAGACATAGAAAATAAAAAAAACAAGAAAACAAAGACATAAATAATAAAAAAAACAAGAAAACAAAGACATAGAAAATAAAAAAAACAAGAAAACAAAGACATAGAAAATAAAAAAAAACAAGAAAACAAAGACATAAATAATAAAAAAACAAGAAAACAAAGACATAGAAAATAAAAAAAAACAAGAAAACAAAGACATAGAAAATAAAAAAAACAAGAAAACAAAGACATAGAAAATAAAAAAAAACAAGAAAACAAAGACATAGAAATTAAAAAAACAAGAAAACAAAGACATAGAAAATAAAAAAACAAGAAAACAAAGACATAAAAAATAAAAAAAACAAGAAAACAAAGACATAGAAAATAAAAAAAACAAGAAAACAAAGACATAGAAAATAAAAAAAACAAGAAAACAGACACAAAAAAATTCAGAAAAACGAGATGAAGAAGACATAAAAATACAAAAATAAAAAAACAAGAAAACAGAGACAAAAATACAAAAAAAAATGAAAAGCAAGAAACAGAAAATACAAAAACATTGAATAAATAAAGTGTAGGAAGAGAGGAGGTGAAGAAGGTCGAGGTTGTTACTACTGTGCTGGGATTATCAACCTTCAAGCTCTGACGCTCCTCACGGTCTCTTGATCAAAGGGATTTGGAGCTACGCCTCCTTTTCCTTGGATCAAAACTCACTGTCTCGGTTTTGCATTTTCCCAAGAATACAACAACAATAATAATAATAATAATAATAATAATAATAATAATAATAATAATAATAATAATAATAATAATAATAATAATAATAATAGTATTAATAATAATATTTATATTTTTATATTAACACATCGGCCGTCAAGGCAGGGTGGCCCACCAAGGCAGGGTGGCCCACCAAGGCAGGGTGGCCCACCAAGGCAGGGTGGCCCACCAAGGCAGGGTGGCCCACCAAGGCAGGGTGGCCCACCAAGGCAGGGTGGCCCACCAAGGCAGGGTGGCCCACCAAGGCAGGGTGGCCCACCAAGGCAGGGTGGCCCAAAAAAGAAAACTTTCACCATCATTCACTCCATCACTGTCTTGCCAGAAGGGTGCTTTACACTACAGTTTTTAAACTGCAACATTAACACCCCTCCTTCAGAGTGCAGGCACTGTACTTCCCATCTCCAGGACTCAAGTCCGGCCTGCCGGTTTCCCTGAACCCCTTCATAAATGTTACTTTGCTTACACTCCAACAGCACGTCAAGTCCTAAAAACTATTTGTCTCCATTCCCTCCTATCTAACACGCTCACCAATGCCTGCTGGAAGTCCAAGCCCCTCGCACACAAAACCACCTTTACCCCCTCCCTCAAACTTTCCTAGGCCGACCTCTCCCCCACCTTCTCTATGGATAAGTTTTGGTAATCCTGCACCTCCTCCTAATTTCCAAACTACGAATTCTCTGCATTATATTCACACCACACATTGCCATCAGACATGACATCTCCACTGCCTCCAGCCTTCTCCTCGTTGTAACATTCACTACTCATGCTTCACAACAATATAAGAGTGTTGGTATAACTATACTCTCATACATTTCCCTCTTTGCTTCCATGGACAAAGTTCTTTGTCTCCACAGACTCCTCACTGTACCACTCACCTTTTTCTCCTCGTCAGTTCTGTGATTCACCTAATCTTCATAGACATATATTATTATTATTATTATTATTATTATTATTATTATTATTATTATTATTATTATTATTATTATTATTATTATTAGTATTGCTGTTATTGTTGTTGTTGGTAGTAATAATGATAATAATAATAATAATAATAATAATAATAATAATAATAATAATAATAATAATAATAATAACAACAATAATAATAATAACAATAATAATAATAATAATAATAATAATAATAATAATAATAATAATAATAATAATAATAATAATAATAATAATAAATTAAGACTCGGGGTCAGCCTAGTCTGAGAACATAAGGAAGAGTAAACGAAATTAATGAGGATAAAAGGCAGGGTAAACAAGGTTAACGATGATAAACGCAGGAGAAGCAGAAAGCAACACAAGAGTAAAAAGAAAGAGTAAACTCTCTCTCATACAAGAGTTAAGTGCCATCAACAAAGAGAACAAAGAGTGAGCTTGAGAGTGCCTTCATCTCTCTGCACTACTGGCACTGTGCCATAGTAA